CACCAAGATAAATGGGAGGCTGACCTACTGAACCATATACACCTTAATACACAAAGCCACCCTACCAACTCAGGAAAGCAGCAAAAATGCCGAGCCAAGGAAACAGATCACAAACGAAAGAAATGAAGGGAAGAAAGTGACTGGATATAAAGTTTAAAACCATGCTTATAAGGTTTTTCAAGAATTTCCTAGAAAAGGCCGATAAAATAAATGATACTTATGAAGATATGAAAAGGGGTCAACTAGAAATAATAAAGGATCAACTAGAAATAAAGAATACATTCTCTGAAATAAAAAATATTATACAGAGTCCTAAAAACAGAATGGAAGATTGCAAGAATCAAGTCAAAGATTTGGAACACAAAGAGCCAGAGGACACTCCTTCACAGAAGCAAGAAGACAAGAGAATCCAGAAAGTTGAATATAATGTAAGAAACCTCTGGGACAACTTCAAGTGAACGAACATCAGAATTATAGGGGTCCCAGAAGATGAGAGAGAGCAAGATACCAAAAACATATTTAAAGAAATGGTGACAGAAAACTTCCCCCACCTGGGGAAAGAATTAGACTTACAAGTTCAGGAAGCACACAGAACCCCAAACAAAAGGAATCCAAAGAGGACCACACCAAGACACATCATAATTAAAATTCCCAGAGCAAAAGACAAAGAGAGAATATTAAAAGCAGCAAGAGCAAAGCAGGTAGTTACCTATAAAGGATCACCTGTACAATTGTCAGCTGATTTCTCAACAGAAACCATGCAGGCCAGACGGGAATGGCAAGAAATATTCAAGGTGATGAATAGCAAGAACCTACAGCCAAAAATACTCTACCCAGCAAAGCTATCACTCAGAATCAAAGGCCAGATAAAGAGCTTCACAAATAAAAAAAAAAGCTAATGGAGTTCATCACTGCCAAACCAGAATTATATGAATTGCTGAAGGGGGTTATTTAGGAAGAGGAAGAAGATAAAGATAAAAATTATGAACAACAAATACATAACTATCAACAAGTGAATCTAAAAACCAAGAGAATTAAAAAACCTGATGAACAATATTAACTGTTGAATATAATAGAATCAGAGGTATGGCAGAGGAGTGGACTGATGATTCTTGGGGAAAAAAGGAGTGGGGGGTGCAGGAAGAGACTGAACATAAATTGTGCACCTATGGATGAGGACAATGGGGGGTGGGGAAAGGGCAGAAGGTGGGGTGGGAACCTGGTGGGGGGGGTTTTGAAGGAACTTTTGTAATATAATAATATGAACAATAAAGATTTATTTAAAAATAAATAAATAAATAAATAAATAAATCTTTACATGCCCAGGTTGTGAGCTCGATCCCCAGTATAGGGTGTGCAGGAGGCAGCTGATCAATGATTCTCTCTCATTACTGATGTTTCTATTTCTCTCTCCCTCTCCCTTCCTCTCTGAGATGAATAAAATAAATAAAATAAAAAATATTTATGAAAATGCTAAAATGTACCTATTTACTTATAGTGAAACCATAACATTTTGTCTAGTTTTATGACAAGTCTATCCTATATAATAAAAGTATAGTATGGCCTTAACCCGTTTGGTCAGTGGATAGTGTCGGCCTGCGGACTGAAAGATCCCCGGTTCAATTCTGGTCAAGGGCATGTACCTAGATTTTGGGCACATCCCCAGTAGAGGATGTGCAAGAGACAGCTAATCGATGTTTCTCTCTCATCGCTATTTCTAACTCTCTGTAAAAGATCAATAAAATAAAATATATATTTTTTAAAAGTGTATTATGAAAATTATCCTCTCCACTGGGAGTTGTCCCAGAGTTCAACCAGGGGGTGGAGCTGGCCGGTGAAAGGGAGGTAGGCCCCTGCTGGCAGCCAACAGCCGATAGGGACCTTACCAATACATGAATTTTGTGCACTGGGCCTCTAGTATTGTATATGTAGCAAATATGTGATTTAAAATGTAGTTAACTCACAACAAGATTAAAAATCTTTTCTGAAAAACTTCTTTTTAAAACATCAGATTCAAGCACCTAATAGCTCTTTGAAACCAAGACAATAGCAGTAAAGATGTTTAGGGAACCTACCCCAAGATCTCCTGGTGTGTCTGCTGCCCAGCAGGTAGAATGTCTGGCTACTGTGAGATAGCTTGGATAGCTTGGGGACTCCCTGACAGCAGAGTTTTTCAGAGAATGTATGTCTTAGACCAGCATGGGTGGTGGGCCAGCACTGGATCAGGAATGCTTGTGATTGGTCTACAACCAGATTACTGTGGAAATGGAGAGTATTTAAATATTTTTATAGAAATTTGACACCAAATGTCATCCAAATACTTGTGTCTAATAACTCATTGTTACTGTGTTTTCAAAAGTATTGCTCTGTCATCTACTGGGACTTTCTAAATGGGCTTTCACCACAGATAGTTTAAGAGTGCTTGTTAAGAATTCAGTTTCCTGAGCTTCAACATAAGCCTCTGGAACCCAAATCTCTGAGAATGGGGGCAAGTCCAGGAGTCTGCATTTTAACAAGCTGTTCAGGCCATTCACTTCAGTCTGAAGTGTGAGAACTGCTTTAGGAAGAGGAACAACATACTGACTGACACTATAGAACCAGAATTGCAAAGAGCAGCTAGGATATAGTTGCTTGCAGTCCCCATGGATGAGTGCCATTGCTATTGCCTCTCAGAACCGCCTGGAGAAGACTCCCTCCAAGCCCCTTCATTGCCACCTGCAGGCAAGTTGTAATATTGCACTCATGGATAATGTGTAGGACTGACCACAGGCCAGAGCCAGGGCAGGGAGGTCAGCCAGTGCCAAGAGGCCATGTCCAAGAATTAGTTCCCTAGCTCTGATTAGGAAATGCCAAAGCTCTTCTCTCTCCACAGACACAGGCCCTTTCCCTCATCGAGAGAAAGCATACACATCACACAGGTTCTTGTTGGTTGCAGGTTGAAAATAACTGTGAATAAAGGAGAATTTAATTCTCCCTGGGCACATGGCATTCTCATTTACCATGTCAGTTCTTAATAGATGATTTTGTGAGGAATAGAAAATGTTCATAGAGCAGTAGCTGCTTCTCAGAGGCGGGACTTCATCGCCTGCGTGGCCCAAGCTCAGAATAGTGCCCACTCCCCTCTGAGACTTCAGGAAGAAGAGGCTGTCCTTGCCTTGGTGGGTCCCTCTGGGCCCTACCTGAGTGCCTGTCACTTCCTGCTAACCCTGGGAAGGGGCCACAGAGGGGCAGCAGGAAGAGGAGGAGGAAACCACCAGAACTGAGAGGAACTGGGGGTTTTAACCTTGCCCTTGGGAACAACTACTTACTTCATCAAATTTGAAGGGCCTCACCTTCTCTTCATTAGGAATGTGCTTTACTCTCAGATGTGGCTCTCGGCTCACATCTTCAGAGACTTCCAAGCAGGTACCTTTGGCCTTCCGGCAGCAGCACCCCTTCTTCTGTTTCCTTCCTGCCCTCTGTCTGCAGGCCACCCTTTTAGGTTTGGGCCTCCCCTCCCTGGGCAAGCTTTCTGCAACTCCTGGGCAAACCCGGCCCCTCCTCTCTTCTCTCCTGGTGCCTCCTAGGCAGGACTTTCTCTGGTTGTGGGGATTTTCGTGGTGCAAATTAGGGCTGATTAATTAGAAGTATGGTTATCCTCTACAAACAAATATGGCCTCTTACTTTGTGACTTTGCTTTTTCCATGGTAGGGAATGCATATCTTTGTAATGAAAGGAGTGTGCACATTTTTTTAATGTTTAAAGGGTGTTAACGAGGTGGCTCTAGGAAAAGAAAGCCTGTTGGCCTAGACCACAAACTCCGTTTGCTGTGATGTTTTGGGTTACAGCTCTCTATTTGAACAGTAAAACAAAGAAATTAAAGCAACTCCAATACTGACAGTTTCAGTGAAAAAATAATTTTTAGTATGAAACTCTGTTTAAAATTCCATTTCTTCTCATTCAAACAGCTATTTTATATTAATTTCTAATCAAGCAGTTATTTTATAATCAGTTTTATATAACATGTTTCTTTGGAACATAGCAGTTCTATTGCAAATCATGTGGGACCTGAGGGTAGAATCTGATACCTGATAGTCTAACTTGGGGATATAGATCTGTCACTCACTAGATCGCGGTCTCTAAATTTAGTAACTTTGTGTTTTATTTTCAATCCACAGTACTCAATTGAACAAATTTATATATATAAATATATATACATCTTTTTTTTTAATCCTCACCCAAGGATATGTATTTTTTTAATTTTAGAGAGAGGAAATCATTGATGTGAGAGACAAGCATCAATCAATTGCCTCCATACGTGCCCTGACTGAGAATTGAACCCACAACTTTTATTTTACTTTATTGACTTTTTACAGAGAGAAGAGAGAGAGTTAGAAACATGGATTAGAGAGAATCATCGATCAGCTGTCTCTTGCACGCCCCCCAATGGGGATGTGCCCGCAACCAAGGTACATGCCCTTGACCAGAATTGAACCTGGGACCTTTCATATTGCAGGCTGACGCTCTACCACTGAGCCAAACCAGTTTCGGCTGAACCCACAACTTTTTGATGTAGAGAATAACTCTCCAACCACTTGAGTCTCCAGCCAGGGCTGCTAGTATAACATCTTTATATATAAGGGATTATATATATATTAATGATTTCAGAGAGGAAGGGAGAGGGAGAGAAAAATAAAAACACCAATGATAAGAGAGAATCATTGATCGGTTGCCTCCAGCATGCCCCACACTGAGAATAGAGTCCACAACCCGGGCATATGCCCTGACCAGGAATCAAAGTGTGATCTCCGGGTTCATTGGTTGATGTTCAACCACTGAGCCACACAAGCCAGACTAGTATTATATCTTCATATGCCCCATACCCATGAACCAGTATACGCACTCACTGGAAGTGGAAAGCCTGGAGAGCAAGGTTTCCTGCTCACCCTCATTCCCCACCACCCTGCCAGTAGGAACTTCCCCCGTGGAGGTCATCGGGTTCCATTTTCTTTCTGCCTCAGGAATCCTCCTCATGATGTCCCTGTGCAGTGAGGTGCACGTGTACGAATACCTCCCATCCGTCAGGCAGACAGAGCTGTGCCACTACCACGAGCTGTACTACGACGCGGCCTGCACCCTCGGGGCCTACCACCCCCTGCTCTACGAGAAGCTGCTGGTGCAGCGCCTGAACACTGGTGCCCAAGGGGACCTGCACCGCAAGGGCAAAGTGGTTCTGCCAGGGCTGCGGGCCGTGCACTGCCCCGCCCCTAACTCTTGAAAAGGGTCTCTGGAGAACCAATGTGCAATAAGTACTACGGTTGTGCGCTAAGTCACAAAAGAATACTTGAACTTGTATTTTAGGTGTGGTCTTGAGTCTTTAAACTGCAATTTAGTGATGGCCTTGAGAATTCTTCTCTTTCTAAGCCCTTGAGTATTTATTGCTGCTTTGAATCTATAATGGAATTCAAAGGGGAAAAAGATCAAGAAAGATGCACAAAACAGAATACCTGGAAGAAAATGAAATGTACAACAACACTGCTAAGTTTTTTCCACGCTGTGGGCACAGCTTATCAGGGCTGGTGTTAGTGACAGAGCTGATGCCTGCAACACACTAAACACTAAAGAAAGGTTTAGACATTTCAAGGCTGCAGGGACATTGAGGTACAGTGTTTACAGCATCGAACGTCACTTGTGCAGGCATTCATCAAAAAGATTCTGGAGTTTATGACAAATATCTGACTTTGTCTACAAGGCTGCAGGGACATTGAGGTACAGTGTTTAGAGCATCGAACGTCACTTGTGCAGGCATTCATCAAAAAGATTCTGGAGTTTATGACAAATATCTGACTTGCCACTCGGCTGTGTTTATTTTAACACCAGGAATCTAGGATTCCTGTGAGGTGCCTGTGTTTCCAAACCGTTGCATTCGCCATCTGTGCTTCCCGTGGCCACAAGTGATTTGCTCGATGTCAAGACACATTTCTGAAACCATAGAGCATCAAGTCAAGCAGGCCAAGAACAGTCCAGCCTATAATTGCACACAGAGAAGACATGGTTTTCCTGCACGATTTTCTTATCAACGGGGAGCATCCCCCAGAAGGAAGGAGCAGCACTGGTGAGTAGCACAGAGTAACAAGGCTGCAGGGTAGCCCTGCCTGGGACATTTCCCCGCCCCAGCACTCCGTCTTGGACCTTCTCACCAGCCAGTCCTCCCCATGGCCTTCCTAGTCATACACAGGACAATGAGGACACCCCTAATGGGAAGGGCTCCTTCCAACCCAGAAGAAAGGGTTTGGGAGCAGTAACTCCTTCCGGGATGCACATCTTTGTCTTTTATGAGGATTTCTTGCAGGTTAGTATCAGCTGTTGGAAACCTGGTACTAATTCTTCCCACAAATGGAGAGATGAATGTTTAAGAATCCTGTCCTCATTTCTACAGATGTGTTTTATGTCAGCAACATAACAAAGCCATATAGTTAAATAAGATGGTGTGAAAGTGTGGTTCTTTAGCAACAAGGAAAACATGTATCTGCTTCAGGGGAAAGACAACTGGAGGGGAAATGGTCACCTAAGGCAATAGCTATATTCAGTTTTATTTTACTTAATCTAAACTTTGGTCACTCATATATTGGGAAAAAAAGATTTTGAGATGAACAGAGTGAAACAGAAACATTTGAAATACTTAAACATTGCATTATTTCAATATGCAACCAAAACATGTTTCACTGATCTGTTTGACACTTCTTTGCAATGACTACAATAGCTTAGTTAAGTACCTTTCCCCTAGAGAGTGTGTGAATGGCAGGAAGGCTTATGGAAAGTTTTTTTGTTCAAGATTGCTTTTTGCTGAGCCCTCTCAGGATTGCTTTCTTGAGCAAAGTGATTTACAGAAACTGACGACTATTTGGCTCATCTCAGCAGAAATCCAAATGGATAGCAGAATCCTATAGACATCTTTACTGTAATAGTGAAGTAACTGAAATTTTAATATGGCAGTGTCCATGAAAGTCCCTGTGAGAGCTTCGTTTCTGTGTGTATGAGAAGGGATGGGTAATTTTTTCCTGCACATTAGCTTATGTTAAGCGCTTTACTCCCTTATTTCCCTAAAGAGCTCAGTCTCATCCCATGTCTAGTGATGCTGGATGCGGGTGAGAAAGCGCTGGTGCAGTGAGTAGTCCTCTTGCAGTCCTGGCCCCAGCCCTGGCTCTGCCCTCAAATGCAGGGAATGGAGGTTCCCCAGTGGTCCTCGTGAGCCCTTACCACATCCCGTCACCAGGTCAACCACTGGATGACTGGAAAGATTGGTTAGAGGAAAATGTATTGGGTCAGTGTAAATACTCAAGGTCCAAAGCCCCAGAAAACACTTCAAAGATTTTTAAATTGCATTATGTTGTAACTCATATACTTTTTTAAAGTGCTTTCTATGTCACTGAAATGATAAGAAAGACTGGAGGATATAGGAGTTTAATTAAAATCTTTGAATTTATTATGGTCTTGACTCTTGGGACTCAGGATTTGTTAAAATTCAAAAAATGTGGTACACATACTAATATAGCATGGGCTGGGCGTTCTCCAATTTAGAAGTTTAAATTGTTTTGCCTCTCAAAATATTAGGCAGTTAGAGTTAGCATGATGACTGCTTTGAGTATTAACCAAATGGGTCTTAAGTGCAATATTTGGCCAGACGTTGATTAAGTCCTTATAGGCTCCATATGAACTGCAGTAAAACACACAGGCCTTCTATGACATAGTTGATAATGAATAGCCCCACTGTGTTTTTTCCAGGCCCTGCCCCTTCTAAACCCTCCATCCTCTGTGAAGGGACACTGATCAAGACCTCATAGTGCAGCCTGAGGCCACTGGCCCCTTGCTTCACTCTCAGGATGAGCAAGGTCACACTGCTATATATTTCCTGATCTTTTTTCTTTTTTCTTTTTGGTTTTGTTGTAATCACAAAGAAATAACTGTTGGCAAAGGATGACAGCTTACGTTCATCTAGATTCTCCCTAACTCCTTTCACCAGTCCGTCCAGGTGTGAGGGTAAGGTGTACCAGGTGGAGTGTTCTCACTGTCCCCATGGAAGGCAGTGCTGGCCCTGTGAGCGTGACCCTCCCCTCAGTCAGTACGGGGCTGCTTTTCTCAAGAAATAACCCTTTTTGGTGGCAGCACTTCCGTCACTGAATTAACCAGGTCCCATTGGGCACCTTAGGTGGGGTCAATCTCACATGTGCCATGGTATGTGATGGGAGAATTTTGATGTAGGTGGGGTCAGCTTCACATGCGTCATGGTATGTGATGTCTGCACAGATAACTAGATTCAGGTCTCCGGAAACACATGGCACAGAGCATGTTTGGACTGATGGCCAAAGTCACCTGGCTCACTTCTGCTTAGCTATGAAAAGAAATGGGAGAAGGAGGTGGGAGGATTATGGAGAAATACATGACTGAATATATAGGCCAATAGCCTCTGCATATACTCTACAACACTATCTATGTGACTTCTCACATTCTGATAGTCTAGAACTCTATCCAGTGGTTGCACAGCTTGTAAAGGCAGATACATTTAGAAATGAATTGCTTGCATAAAATGTGCCTGAGTTTAAAATTTTTTTGTACTCTGGATATTTCCATTGTGAAAAATATTCTGCATATTTTCTGTCACTAGGACTTTACAAAATTGGGAAATGAAAGGTATTTCTGTCAATTCAAGGATAAAATGTAAGTGCTGGTTCTTGTTTTATTGAACGGGTGAAGCTTTTTAGTAAGAAAATATAATACAGCATATTCCTCTACAAGTTTGGGCCGGTGGAATTTAAAGAATTAGTTCTCATTCTTGTTATAAAAGTGTGCATATGGATATAGTTATATAATTGTATATATACATATCTACACACATGGTTGGATTTAAATTGTCTTTTTTCATCAAACTTTATTTCTTAAATCTTTGTAATAATCCTATTTTAATTATGCAAACACTAGGAGGTTTTTTGTTGTTGGGTTTTTGTTTTTTTGCTAATCCTCACCCTAGGATATTTTGCCATTGATTTTTTTTTTTAATTTTTTTTTAAGAGAGTGGAAGGGATGGGGAAAGACAGAGAGAGAAACATCTATGTGAGAGAGACACATCAATTGGTTGCCTCCCACACATGCCCTGACTGAGGCCTGGGATTGAACCTGAAACCAATGTATTTGCCCTTGACTGGAATCAAACCCTTGACCCTTCAGTTCGTGGGCCAATGCTCTTACCACTTAGCAACTGGCTAGAGCACAAACACCAGTTTTTAAGAGAAGGAAACAAATGTTATTTGTCCTTCTGTTTAAAAAAATTAGTCTTCCATACACTCAGTATAGTGAACATATTTAAACATCACTGTGAAGGTGAACCCATGACATGAAGACAGCTTAATGTCACTCTGAAGTTTGATGAGAAGTTGACAACTCATGACTTTCACAAGATTCAGGGAAGAAACATTGATTGGTTCTACAGAAAAGCATCTTCTCATTAGGTACGTTTCAAGCAAATTAACTGTACTGGTAGCATTAAGACATAATATAATATCACACATTCTGTTTATCCTAGATTAAAAAAAAATACTTAGAAAACTTTTCTGGTAGAAACCAGTGAACTTTTTTAACAGCATTGGGACTTTCTTTTGTATGACAATTTTTAAATGAAATGTGTGCTCTTCAAACTATGGCTTGAGGTTTCCAGGGGTTGCATTTTAAAGGTGTTTGTACACATTTTAAGGTTTTGATATTTTCTATTTTGGTTTTGTATATTTTTATGTATACACAGTGTACAGACTTTTTCTTGTAAATAAAACATTTTTTTCAATTGTCTAGGAATTTCTGTTTTCATTTGTAGAAGTTGCACATGCAGATGAGTGAGTGGCAAATATGAGTCATCCTAAACAAAAGGCAGGAAACCGAAATCCGGTTAGAAGTTGTGGAAGAACCAACAACATCTTGCCTCCAACCACGAGAATCACACTGGGCTTCATCCTGGGCCTAACCCCATAGCACAGGGAGCAGTTGCAGAAAAGCCACAAGCGGAAAAGACAGGGACAGACTATCATAGCCTGATGTAGACTTCGCCCAGCATTGTGATTAATTTGTTGCCTTGGAGGACTTTCCCAATTCCACAGGGCTTTACATCAAAATTCAAATAAGTTATTAAAGGGGAGCCCCGGGGCAGCAAATTCACCTCCATCCACTGCAAAATAGCGTTGCTATTTTCATACTTGCCATGTGAGTGGAAAATCAGTTAATTAGGCTCCTAAAAAGAAATTCCTGGCATTTGTGCTTTTTTGGTTAAAATATGAAGGAATCCTTGAAGGGGAGCGTGGATGTTTGATGTGAAGACTGATGTGAGCAGCTGGCAATTCAGAGAATCACAGAGGACTGCCCCACCTTCTCATTATCGCCATCTTTCTTTTCCTGGAAGATGACTGCTTGCATTTACATAATTAAAACCCAGGCTTCCTTGGGCTGGTAAGGGAAGGACCTAAGGTGGAACTCTCAAAGGAAGCTGCTCCTCACTCGGAGACCAGCCAGTTACTGGGAGAACTCTGCATTCAAAATATGTACCTGAGGCAGCACTCAAAGACATGAAGGAGGAGCAAGGGGAAGGAGATGGAGGGGAAAGGTGTTACGCCCAGACTTTGTGATCCCCAAGGGCCACCAGGGAGCCAAGTCCGATGCAATAAACAAAAGAGCCTCTTCCATGCTAGCATGGGCTCTGTCCCACTCACGCCGGCAGCATGGCAGAAGAGAGAGCGAATTTCGCCCAGCCCAGGGGTTTTACTGTGGTCGGTGGTGATGTCACTGCCTTGGCTAACCCTGATTGGTTGGGTGAGGGTTAGGGTTCAGTTACAAAATGAAGGATAACTCCTCCCTGCCCCACAGTGGAGTCAGGAGCCCATCCTCGCCCCGCCCTGCCCTCTCATCCCCCCCTTGTCTTATGTGCATGAGTCAAGTCATTGACTCAGCTTACTTCCTTTCAGCATAAACAACAAATACAGTTACCAAGACCCTTAGTACCACAGTTCCCATCAGTATTGTCCTCACTGAAGTCCAGTTCCCCTCCTGCAGGCATCAGTTCTCCTCCTGGCCTGTGTGGATCCCAGGCTGGGGATCTCACAGGTGAGGCCGCTAGTTGCCAGGATCCAGGCCATGCAGGAGTTGGGAGTCATGTAGTCAGGTCTGGGTGCCGTCTCCTTCAACAGCAGTGGGCGTGCTCAGGATAACAGTGTAGCGTCCCTTTGAGTCCTTGGGCAGTGAATTTCTTTACCCACATTGAGTTCCTGGGCTACAGGGTCTGCGGTGGGCACTGGCAGTGCATCTGGAACAAGCAAACTGCAGAGCCTGTAAGGACTTGAGCAAGGGAATGGTTACCATACATGATCCCCCCCCCCCAAAAAGGAGAAACTTGTCCCAGTAAGGGGTACACCTGGCCCTTAAGAGGGCAAAGGACGGGGGTTGGTCCAATTTTCACTGATTCTAGGACATATTTAGTTAAATCCCTTTACCAGAGTTTCATTTTACCTGTCCTAAGGCTAGAGCTATACTTTGAGATACCTTAGCTACAAAGGTGGGGCTGTTATCTGATACTGGCAACCCGAATCTAGGTATAATCTCCTGGAGTAATCTCTTGACCATTATAGAGGCAGTTTCCATCCTAGTGGGGTATACTTCAACCTAATCTGAAGTGTCTACAAAAACTAGACCTTATTGCTGGTGGCTTAATCTCTGAAATCCACCTACCAATGCTCTCCTGGGGAAGTTCCCTGGGACCCAAATTCCCAGGGGGACCCCCTTACCTTGCTTAGCATTTACTGTGCACAGACAGTACTTCTAGCAACTCTGCCTCACAGAAGTTCAGAAGTCTTGGTGACACTTAAGTGGGTAACCTGGTGTCACTGGGCAACTCTGACCTAGAGCCTCTGGGATCAACAGTCTTGCATATGGAGGGTTCACCAATTATCTGGTCCTTTGGTGGCTTGCTTCTGTTCAGCCAATTCCTTCTGGTTGCAGTTGGTAACCCTCTTTTCTCTGTGGATGGCACAGTGTCTCCATCAAAGGGCCTGGATTAAGGCCAAAAGTTCTGGAACTGTGCCCAAATGGTGTGGTCCAGGGTGACTACCACTGCCTCTGCATATCAGGTCCCATCCTGAATGTAACTGCTCCCATCCGTGAACTGTACCTCATCGTCTGTTACCTCTGTGCAGTCATGAATGGGTTCCTCCATCATCATCTGGAAGCAGGCTGGCAGGGTTGATTGCCAGAGTCTTATGAATCCAGACACAGGGCTGGTCCAGGAGAAAAGCTTAGCTCCTGTCCCAGAGTCTGCTTATCTGCCTTCTTCACCAGCAATGCTGTGGTGGCCACTGCCCAGGGGCATGCTGGCCACCCTGCTGCCACAGAGTCCAGTCTCTTAGACAGATAGGCAACAGGTCTCTTCCAGGGACCTAGAGTCTGAGTGAGAACCCCTTTGGCAATGCCTCTTACCCCACTCATGTAGAGGGGGAAGCTGGGCTTCATGACATCTGGCAAGGCTAGGGCAGGTGCTGAGACGAGAGCCTTCTTTAGCTCCTCAAAGACCCATTGTCCAGTTCAGCAGCTGAATTCCTTCAGTACATGGTCCCAGAGGCTTCAGTACATGTTCCTTCTGAGGTCCACAGTCCTTTTTCAATGTCCAAGGAGGCTGCATTTCTAAGCCCCCCTCTACTCACCTCCGGAAGAACATCGATGAAAATTGTCCAAGCAGTCTCAGGGGGTTAAATCATACAAATAATTGTTTTCACATTGTTTTAACACAATTCTAAATAAATTATAAACCTTTGTGATGAAGTCTACTTAAATCTATAAAGTAGACACACATGACTGAAACCAAAAATGACTCCCAAAGTTTACAAAATATAAGATGCAGGTACAATCCCAAATTCAAGCTTACAATGTGATTACAAAAGACAACAATGGCATATAAAACAAAACAAAACAAAACAGATCAAATATAAAAGTTTCATATGTTACATTAAAACATTACTTCAGAAAAACTGACTTCAAAAAAATACTGCATCACTGACTTAAAATAACTTTTTTAAGTGTAAGCATCACATACTTTCTCATCTGACAAATGAGAATATTTTTAACACATGTAATACAGTTCAGCCTGCCATATTCTAGGCATTTTTTAGATTAATAACATTACATTTCTAAGAAAAATACAAGACATAATAATTAAGAGCCTCAATTCTGTTCTCTAGATTTTTGATGAGGCAAATCTAAACTTTACTTTCCTATGTCTTTTTTTTTTTTTTTTTCTTTTACATCCTGCTTTTTAGGGAGGAGTTTCAGCAACAGATCTGGTCATTCCCTGTAGATCACTGGGGGAGGGATTGGACAAAGGGAGCCATTCAAATGCAAATGAACACATTCTTTAGCTGAAGACTCCCAGCATTACCATCTAGTTCCTGCCTCAGGACGGGAAATTTCAAAAGCTGCTTACAATGCCTAGGGAAACCAGTTTTAATTTATCTTCCTGTAAATCTCCACCATTTTTAAAACTCATTCTGTACACAGAAAAGAGTTTAAGCACAGCCCAAAACTATGAGCACTCATTTTGAACTGGCCTTTTCCCTTTACATGAGCACAGAAATTCGAGATGCATAAAAACTTTCTTGAGGAGTGGCTTGGCCAAGTGTCTCCCCTCCCCCACCTCCTGCCTGCTTTGAGGGTAGAGAGTAGCAAATTTACAAAGAACACAGAAACAGAGGGCTCCTGAGAACAGTCTTCCAACTCTGTGGAAGCCAAACTAAACGGCCTCATGCCAACCGGTGGCCCTCCAACATTGAAAGCTGGCCACCCACTAGAAGGAGTCTGCCATTGGCCATTCCGGACCTCCACAACCTAGAAAATCAGAACAACCAACAAGAGGGCGCCCAACATCAACATTTCAACTTAAAACAGGACTTGAGAGAGGTCCACTTCTCTCTCGCCCTTACAAGAGCACAGAAATTCACCCACGAGGCCACTTCTCCCAGACCTGATGCCGCCAGGCAGGCCCAGGCCCCAGAGCAAAGCTGCTGCTGCCGCTACCCCAGCCGTGCTGCTCGGGCGGCCCCCGAGGAGGAAGCGCGGGTTGCACCAGCGGCTTCCCAGCTCCGCCTCCCCTTCTCCAGGCAGCCAGCAAATTAACCCAGGTGCGTGCTCCCCGAGCGAGGCTGCCACTGCCCAGCCGCGCTCCAACGCGCAGACTGAGCCCTGCGGGAGTCCCCCTCTGACCCAACACTGCCAGGGGGCCCTGCACTGCCACGCCGGCCACACTTCGCTGGCTCCATCCTGGGGTGCCATGTCGCCCGCAGATACCAAACTCAGACTTGGGAAAGGTTCCTGTCACTTTTCGCAGGTGAGGCAATGGCTCACGCAGCTCACCTCGTCCTGGGAGAGGCTTCCATCCCTCTCCCCATATGAGGATCCCTCTAGGAGAGGGTTCCACATCTCTCCTGACTTAGGGGCCCTCCTGGGAGGTCAGAACATCTTCTGAATCCTCCTGCCTGTGGCCTTAATGGCACATCTGCCAGACATATTCAGGCACCAACTCCATGAGGGGTTTTACTGGAGGTTCCCTCCAGAATGCTCACACAAGGACACAGACAAACACACACCTACCGTGGCCAGTCAGGCTCTTCGGATCGGCTTCCCTCATGGTCCTGGGATCCCGGACGAGCCCCCATCTATTACGCCCAGACTTCGTGATCCTCAAGGACCACCAGGGAGCCGAGTCCGATGCAATAAACAAAAGAGCCTCTTCCATGCTAGCATGGGCTCTGTCCAAC